ACACCGCAGAATGTGAGGACACCGCCGCGCGGCAGAGGCTTCACTACTGCCAGTAGCAAAAGAGGATTGGATTAAGAGGCTGAATCTGGACGTGTTTAGGGGGCCTATGCGGAAAAAACAGCTCTTCGCAGATTTTTTTGCATGTATGCGTAAACACGTCCGCATTCAGACGCTAGTCCCGATCTTCTTTGCTGGCGGGACCTTGCCCCCCCGCGCCCCGCGTTTTCTCGATTTATGCGTGTCATCCTTGCGCAGGGGCCATGCTAATCTTGTCTAGGTTCTCTGTATCGTTCCAATTTTAACGGATGTCCCGAAGGACGTCGCGCGTTTTCGGATTTGATTTGATATTCGAAATGCTTCCCGCCGCCATCCACCTCTCACCCTCTCGGCGCCATGTGACTTTTTTTTTTTTTTTTTTTCGTTCCACTACTCTCGACATCCACGTGACGAGGAACTTGTACAGGGGCAAGGTCCCACTTGCACGGATTAAGAGATTCTGGCCGTCGATCTTTGCTATCCTATCTACGGTCGATATCGCTTAATTCGTGTAAGTGGGACCTAGCCCCAGCCTTGCTCTTGCATCACTGCTGTGGCGCCAACCTTTCCCCCGGATACAACATTCGGTCATTATAGCTGTATTTGAGGCATCTTTCTATCCAGATATAGCTGCTATAATGACCGTACGTTGTATTCGGGGGAAGAGGGTAGGTAGAGATCTGGGTTGGTTGGTGTTCCCCCCTACTATACATAGAGTAGCGAAAGGATGAGATAGATGAGAGAAGAATATAGCTTTATAAATAATTAAAATTAAAATTAAAATTAAAAAGACAAAACTCATGACGGTGTATCTGTCCAAGTTCTATGGAAAGATTCACTCTCGCTTAGCACGTTGTGGACCGAGGCCCTATGACTGATGCCACGTTTTGAATGTACATGGGCCCCTCTGGCGTCTAGGTACGTTCATGACGTCGTGCAGTGGAGCGAGAGCCAGCGCCGGGAAACACAATTTCCGGCCTGCCTGCCTGGCTGGCCATTGAGCCTTGGCGGCGTGTTCTGAAGAGCAAAAGAAAAAAAAGAAAAAAAGAAAAAAAAGCGCAAAAATGAAGGGAAGGAAAGAAAGGCATTACCTCGTTTGCGAGGCCCTATGCTTGCAGGGGTCCCCTCTATATGGTCTTAGGAGTAGTGGTAGGAAGGTACTGAAAGGCGAAAAAGAATTTGAGAGAAGAACATAGTGTAGTTTTTAAAAAGAAAAAGAAAAGGCTTGTACGACCCAAGCAGCAGTAACGCTTGCCTCCACCGCCGATGATTGATGAGAAAACAAACAAACAAAAAAAAAAAAAAAAGAAGAAGAAGAAAGTGGCCCTCTCGATTCGATTCCGTCAGCTGCACGTCTTGCTCAATTCGTGGGGAGCAGCACGTGCTCATTGTTTTTTTTTTTTTTTTTTTTTTTTTTCGCCCCTTGAGTGAGTAACGGGCCCAGCAACCCAATCACCAGTCTCCTCTGGCTTCGATTGCACTTCCCTCTTTTAATCGCGTAACAATTTTCTGCAGTCTTTGCTTGGAAAATCCTGTGATCAGCGACATGCACTTGCATTATTGCGATGACAATAGCAGGCCCTATCGTCCGCATCTCCTTCAGCTCGTCCTAGCCTCTCTCTCTCTCTCTCTCTCTCTCTCTCTCTCTCTCTCTCTCTCTCC